ACTCCCCTGGGCAGCCTGTTTCAGTGCTTGACAACCCTTGCAGTGAAGAAATTTCTCCAACTGTCCAATTTAAACCTCCTCTGGTACAACTGGAGGCCATTTCTGCTTGTCCTGTCACTTGGTATTTGGCAGAAGAGAACCATCCACCCCCACCTTGCTACAATCTCCTTTTCAGTAGTTGTACAATGTGATAAGGTCCCCCCAGGGCTCCTTTTCTCCAGGCTGAACACCCCCAACCCTGCAGCCACTCCTCATCAGACTTTGTTCCAGACCCTTCTGCAACTCCATTGCTCTTTGGACACACTCCAGCACCTCACTGTCCTTGTAGTGAGGGGCCCAAAACTGGACACATACTCAATGTGTGGTCTCACCAGTGCGGAGTATAGAGGGTCAATCACTGTCCTGGTTTTGCTGGCCACACTATTGCTGATCCAGGCCAGGATGCCATTGGCCTTCTTGGCCACCTGGGCACACTGCTGGTTCTTGTTCAGCCACTTGACCAGCAACCCTAGGCCCTTTTCCACCAGGCAGCTTTCCAGCCCCTCTGCCCCAGCCTGGAGTGCTGTGGGGGTTGTTTTGATCCAAGTGCAGGACCCCACACTTGGCCTTGTTGAACCTCACAGAGTTGGCCTTGGCCCTCAAACCCTTGTCCAGGGTTTAATGTCTTTAATTTTAATGTCTTTAATTTTATGGCCCAGCAGTGTTCATTTTGCTAGATTAAAGCAGCATTATGGGGAAAACCTGCACTGTGTAATAAGCTGTTTCTATGACCTGCACATGTCTCCTAGGTGTTCAGGGAAGATTTATTTTTTCCTGGAAGCAGTTGGATTTAAAACAATAAATTTTCCCTTTCTGTGCTACCATTGTGCAGTTCTTCAGCTAATTTTCTATCATACGAACAGTTTTCCCTTCACATGAGCACAGTGAATTAGTAGTGCTTGTTTAGAAACTAAATTAAAAGTAATTCTGTTTAAGAAAACACATACTGATTTACACAGAAGAACATGGAGCTTTGGGTTGTTCTAAAGTTTTCTTTTCAGGGGTATGTCATCAAATTAATGCTGGTTTTAAAGTTCAGTAAGCCAAAACTCTCTGTTAGTCACATTTAGCCTTGCAAGGTGCCACTAGATGGTGTTAGTATCTAGTTCACTTTTTCCTTACTCAAGCACTAAAACACTCAAACTGCTCCATGTTTGCATCACTTTCAAAGGCCTCTTAAATTTTAAGGTGTCATAAAGTAGGTTTGTTAGGGCAGATCATAAAAGCTTCTGTGACTGCATGATTTGTGTCGAAATGTGCCAGACGTGACAGGTGGGTGGTTGTCATTCAGTCTAGACATTTTGCTCCCCATTTTCACCTTCCTTGTTTAGGTTGTATATTCAGACTTTGGGTAAGAAGAGATACTGTCTTGTTCCTGAAACAGTTTTGTATTTATAAAGTTTTGCCAATTTCTTATGAAATTTAGTAGATTACAAAAAAATTAAATTGTGAAACCACGTCACATGGTAATTATGTCAAGTCTCTTTGTATTGTCTGTGTGATACCAAGGAATCTTGAACAGAAGTAGATAAAAAACAAGTGTCATCCATGTCCTATTCTAACGTGGCCCTAGATCCTAGTCATAGTGGGGGAGGAAGGCAAACTCTTACGGGGCACATAATAAAGGTGTCAGGGTTAAAGTGGCCATACAGGTTGCAAAGTGCAGCTCTGGGTGGCTGCAAAAACCTGTAAGAAGAGGAAACCAGTAGACTCTGAGCTCATTGGGTGAGGGTCAGCTCTGCACTAGGTGCCTGAAGCTTAAGGACAGATTCAGGAGGAAGCCTGAGCTCTGAGGAGGATCCTTACTGTTCAATAGTTGTAATTCTTGGGGCAGAAAGGTGGTTGTTTTGCTTTTATGAGCTGTTTTAGGTAAAGATCCTTTTTTTTCATCAATCAGTTTTGCTGATGGTGATTGGGTTGAAAAGCTACATCTGCCTTTGGGCTATTCACCCATGTGAATGTCCTATCTGCCACTCATAGGTTGAAGAGCTTTCAAGAATATGATCATAAGGATGTTGGGCAAATAATGTAAATTGCCACGTTTTGCAGAGAGAGGTATAAAAAGTATGAACTGATACAGTAAGTAATGGAATACTGGACAGAAGGATGGAGAGAGGCAACTGAGCACTACTTTGAGTTCTTCAGTCACTTGTCCAGGGTTGTTTTAGATATTTGAACCGTGGTCTGTCAGCTTTGTGCTTTCTGTGCTTGAGTAGATCATTTTACAAATGTGGTTGAGAGAGAAGCAAGAAGCATTGTCCTGCTGTTGACACTCAGTCCTGTTCTTTTGGAATCCAGACATAATTTTTCATAGGTTGGACTTGATGATCTCAGAGGTCTTTTCCAGCCTGATTGATTCTGTGTTTTTCTGAATGCTCAGGAGTGTTTCACATGCAGAAAAAAAAATTTTCATGTCCTTCAGCAGTTCCATACGTGTAAGAATTTCCCTGACAAACTTCTAGATTGGAAAAAACAATAAGTTCCTAATCAGAAGATTTTCTGCAGAACTCTGCAGTGCCTGAGGATGATTTCAGAGCACTCATTTCATAACGTTTAGAAAAGACATTTTAACTAAAATGGGGTAATTCACTTGTAGCTGTAAAGATGAGAGTTGACCTTCCGTTGAAAGAGGAGCAGTAGTTGATACAATTTCTTTTGTGACAAAAATTGTGTCACCTTGGAATGACCAATCTTGAATGAAAAGTATAAGGTGCAAAAAATGACACTGCCAGATTTTAGCATTGGAGGTTTTTTGTTCATTTTTGTTTGTTTGGGTTATTTTAATACTACTAATGACACAAGTGACTTTTTTTTTCACTTTCTCATAAACCAGGGGATACCATGCTACCATCAGAATCATAGCACTGATGGAGCTGTGCTTCAAGTAGGAATTTGGGTAAAGTCCTTGTTGTTCAGCAGATTCAGTTGCTCAATTTTTCCTGCTTAATCTAGAATAAAATTTGTATTCTGAAGGGTTTGCACTCATTTCCTAGTGATATAAAGTTAACTTAAGGGGGAAGTTGCTTATAGTTCACAGTACACTTTTTAGATAAGATACTGTGTCTAAATGATAGAATATTTATTTTCCCAGTACAAATCCTCAGCAATGTTTTTATCTATTTATTTTATCCATATCCTGTGCCTGACTGCAGTCAGTTTTTTTTTAAAAAAAAAAATAATTAGAAAAGGTTCTCAGTTTCCTCAGTCTTGCATAATATGTTGCTGTTGATCTAAGTATTTTAAATATGATTTAACCTTTAAAAGTGGGATAAAGAAAAGTGAAATTCCTAACCCTAACTGCTTAAGTAAAGGAAAAAAATCCTTTTATCTAAGTGTGGAGCATCACAAAACTGTTTCATAGTGTCTGTCTTCCTGTTTGGGAAAGCAAAGTCATCACCATGTTCAGAAGTGAGTTATGCCTTGTTGTTGAAAAATGAGAGCTGAGAGAAGCTGAATCTAGGAGTGTTTTGGGGAGGAGGTTATTTTGTGGTGTATTGAACATTGTTTATAACATATTTACAGAATGTGACTGAAATATGCTTAGTTTGAACATCCTTAAACTTCTCTTGTTAGGGTGAAGCCATATCTTTCAGTCCATACCTCATTTTTTTGGGGGTGTGTGGAAGGAATTGTATTAAGTTGTGAAAGACTTAGCCTGATTGATTGAAGTGATTTTGTTTGTCTGAGTTGCCTGTAAACATTTACACATATTGCATTTGATGGTGTAGGGGTGATGTGTGTTCTCCTAAGTTTATTTTTCTATGGGCATCTAAATAAATCACAGTTGAGAGCATCAAAATTAGCAGCTGGTTTCACAGGAGTTTTGGTAGGTGCAGCTTGTGTCAGTTGGGTATTTACAAGTCAAAGGTTTGAGTCTCTGCAGACAGGAGAGTGCAAAGGTGTATTCCTCAGAGAAAACTCCGTGTGCCTTTATCATTATGTGTGTGTTGCTCTTATTTCTCTTCAACTGAAGCACAGTTACAGGAGTGAATGTGCAGGACAGGCACTGAAGGGTGCTAACATTTAGGGACATCATTTATCCGTGGTACCTGCAGGAAATGAACCTGCACATAAAGCACAAACTGTTCCTACTGTCTTCATCTGTTTGGTCCTTATAGTTTTTCAAAGCAGGATTTGTCTCCTTTTGTTGTTTGGTTTCCACACAGTGTGTATTTTCCATTCTTAAATCTTAAGAAGCAAACACTTGAAAAATCAATACCTTGGTGTGTTACTGCAGTGAGTCACTCCTTAAAATTCTTCCTTGTTGGATGGTGCCAAGTGCCATGTTCTTAGAAAAGCACAAAGCCAGTTGGTGTTCCAGGCTGCTGTGGCCTGTTAGCCAGAGGGCAGGATGATTCAACCAGGATTTGGAGTGGGGGAGAGGGATGCAGGAATAGTGATTTGAGAAACTGGTTGCTAGGTAGAGCTTGTATTCCACTGCCAGAGCTGTTCTGGTGCTGATTTCCAGGTTAGTCTTGGCCTTAGCTGGTGAATAAAATGTAAGCTTTGCTTTTGTTTCTCCAGTTACAGAATGAAAGGGCATGTGGAATTGATTTCTCTTTGTATGTCCCTCCTGACCAGTTCTTTAGAAATTACAGGGCATGAGGGAGCCATGGTAAATGAGCTACATGATTAAATTTTTAAATCTTACTACAGCTTTGTCCAGGATGAAAATCCCAAAATTTCCAATGATTTCTTTGTTATAGGTTTTCTTTAAAATATTGCTTGATTTACATTTGTAAGATTAATAATAAATACGCTTTTGGGTTGACATTTCATAAAACAAAATTATAATCTGAAGGAATGCATTGCCCACAACAGTGTACTTATCATGGCAGTGTTACTTTTATTAAACCATTTGTCATTTTAATGTTGTGTATTCTGACTCTTAAGGTTTTCTATCTTTTTCTTTGAAGAAAATGAAACAAACCAAATTGAACATTTGTTTTTCTTTCCTACAGCATTATCTGCATACCAGAGGTACTACAGTTTACAATCTGACTACTGGAAGGTCTGTATACACTGCATTTATTTTATTTTTAAAAATGTATTGTTGTAAATGTTTGAGTTTTTAAAGTAGATTCTGTTCAATATAAGTTTGGAGTATCTACCTGCAATTCCTTTTTGGCATTTTAATTGGGTCTTAATGTAAATGTTCACCTGTATGCACAATTTATTGTCTCAGTGGAAATAAACCTTCATACTGTGTGTTGAAATGGCAGCTCAATTAAGCTGACAAGTTTTAGATTTATTTATTTTACTGCCATTATCCATTACTTCATGGTTTTATATGCAGCACAGATACTTGGATACATGTGAGTACTGAGAGCATCATAACCACTTGAAAGCTGCTGTACAGGATTTGGACTTGTACTAGGAAAAGTGTTCTCAAGTTGCTTTTTATTTCCACAGATGCCAAATTGTTTAAAGTAATTTTCAGGATTGCACATAATGTTCTTAAGACAGAAACAAATTCTGTTAGTATACCCAACTTAATAATAGAATCATAGAATTTAAGGGTTGGAATGGCCCTTAGAGATCATCTAGCCCCACCCCCTGCCCTGGGCAGGGACACCTCCTCACTAGATCAGGTTGCTCAAGGCTCATCCAGCCTGGATTGAACACCACCAGGGTTGGGGCAGCCACAGCCTCCCTGGGCAACCTGGGCCAGTGTCTCACCACACTCACAGGAAAAAACATTTTTCTAATATCTAATCTAAACTTCCCCTCCTTCAGTTTGAACCCATTACCTCTTGTCCTGTCACTGCAGTTCCTAACACAGAGTCCCTCTCTGGCTACTTATAGACCCTTCAGGTATTGAAAAGTTGCTCTGAGGTCTCCACACAACCTTCTCTTCTCCAGGCTGAACAGCCCCAACTCCCTCAGCCTGTCCTCACAGGGAGATGCTCCAGTCCTCTGAGCAACTTCGTGACCTCCTCTGGACTTGCTCCAACAAAAACACTTAAGAATGACATTGTCAATAATTATCAGTATTGGGATATTGTCACATGAAATAATTTGAAGCTCATGACTGAGACAGGTCCAGGAGGACATGTCACAGTAGATCTTTGCTTTCCTCATATGGGTAAATGCTTATTTCAGACAGGGAGAGCTCATGGAGAGACATCAGGACCATGTGTGTATGGCATTAGGGAAACATTTTGAGTGTTCCTTGTGTTCCATAGAGGCTGTAAGAACGTTCTGAAAAATGCTGTGGTATCTTCTTGCCTTTGGGCACTGAAAATGGAGAAAGGTAGAGTAAAGTAAGGGTGGAAGTGTGAACTGAAATAAGTGTCTTCTGGCAGATGGAACGAAAAGTCCGATTGGAGGGACCTAGAAAAATTGTTGGTGTTGGTCTTGTAAATCTTCTGCTCCAGCAGAAGTTGTGTGAGAGCCATTTTGGAGTTGAAAGAGTTTTTCCAGAAATAATGTAGTTTAAAAATTCCACTAATAAAACATTCATCTGTTCCTCTTACATGCTCTTGGAGAGTTAAAGATTGCTGTAAGTGGGTGCTGAAATCGATCAATTAATTAAAAATCTGTTGCATAGTTTCTCTTGTTTGTGCTCTTTCATATTAAGCATTTCAGAATAGTTTATGACTTGAATTATTTTTTCTGGGTTTTATTTTAATGGCTCATTATTAGAAGAAGTGGTAGATGGTTAGTAAATTATTTTCCCTGCATTTTTAGGGAGTTCAGGGGAAGTGGAAATGATGACATGAATTCCTATAGGCACAGAATGTTTCAGTGTGGCTCAGAATATTACCTGCAATTAAAGTAAATGCAAACTCTGTTCTGCAGTTTAATTTTGAGTATATGAATGGCAGTAAAAAGTGTGCTCTGTGCTTGACTGCTTGAAAGCAATTTCTGTTTGTGTACAATGTGCTGATGTTCCAACACCTGTTTTTTGTGTGCACTGCCAGAGTTTTCCCATACAGGGACTATGTCAAACAGTTCCAGTTGCAAGCACGAGAGCATTGTTTGCAGCTGGCAAAAGAGCATTTTGACGTAGACAAGTTAGAAAACAACCAAACCAAAACAACAGCAAGAAAACCCCCCAAAACAGTCTTTTTTTTTTTCTTTGTTGGCCTCCCCTGAGAAGGATCCTGTGCCTCTTGCTCTCATTGTGAGCTTCCTTAGAAATGTGTAGTCCACCATGGGTTTTTTCCCATTGTCTTTGGAGATCTTCTGGTTTTTTATATTCATGAAAAAGAGCCTGAAAGAGTCCATACCTATTTTTCAGCTAATAACATTTTACTGAAACTGGTAAAAATCACAGGTGAATCATATTTCATCTTATTAATGGCTGATGAAGCTATTCTGGAGTTGGCAGTGGGAAGCTGCCTGGATTTGCTCTAGAGAAAGAGCTTCCCCTCCTCCCCTCAACTGAGAGGATTTATTGTTTCTTGTCTTCTTAATGCCTTGTATCTGTAAGAAACCATTTAGTCAAGAATAGTAAGTTTGTGGTGTATTTTTGGTCACCCTTTTATGCTGTTTTGTTCTACTTTGTGATTATTTTTTTTTTTCCAAAGAGACACAGATGGCAAAAAACCCCAACAAACCCTCAGTCATATTTCCTTCTTTTACTGTTGTGCATTTTTTTAAGGTGTATTTTTTTTTTTTAGTTCTTGCAGGGCTGGATGTCATCAATTAAGTCATTGGAATTTGTGATGGTAAAGAAAGGAAGAGAGAGAAGGGTGTGAAGGAAGGGTGGTATTTGTGAGCTGTGTGAGAGAACTGAGAAACTGGAGAGTGCTGAATCACATCAAGGTTATTATATAAGGCAGGTTTGAAATCAGACAGGAAGAGACACAAACTTAGGCAACATATCTGAAATTACTGTTGTGCAGTGCAGATTTACACAGTTGGAATAAGTGTGCTGTATGTGCTTTGTTCTTTAAAGAGAAAACTTAGGGAGGAATTGTGAGAGTTTTTAGATTGCTTTGGGTATAGTTTGGCTTCCTTACATAGTATTTTTTGTCTCTGCTACTATGAGTTTTCAATGTTGCATGGGGTTGGTAATTGGGCATTCTTTTCATGCATTGTTCATTATATGATAATCAGTCTATAATTCATCTTTTCTCTTTTCACCCCAAAAAAAATCATTTTAGTTTTTCCCCCATAGATTCTTCTAAAGGTCTGAATTTTCTAACCAGGCTGTTTTCTGTCAGAATTGTTGCAGGAGTTGTTTTGTTGCTAACACAGTCAGCATTGTGTTGATCCTATGGAACAGAAAGAGGAGGAAAAAACGCTTTAGGAAGTATATTCTGTGTATATAGTGACAGAAGTGAAGGTGAAAGGTTAGGAAGATGTTGTATTTTGCCATTTACCAGATCAATACTCCCTCTGTGCTCATATTATTTCCCTTCAAAGCACTAATACCTGCACAGATAATTGTGAAAGATCTGGGTTGCATTATGCTGCATGTTCCTAGAGAGACCGGTTGGTTTTTTTGCAGTAATGTCTTTGGGCACCTACAGGTAATGTAAAATGGCCTGCAAAATGACTGAGTTTCTGCAATTTTTGTTCTGCAGTACCTTAACTCTGCATTTAAAAAAAAAAAAAAATTGGACTTCCTGGCTTATGAAGTAAAAAACTTGGCTAAAAGCTGAGCTAACTTTCATTCCTGCATTCAAGTAGTTTTCTCAATGTTTCTTCTTATGTGCCTATGCTAAAATAAATTTCCCTTCTGTGCAATGTACTTCATTCTGATTTCTTTTTAAAACTCCCCTGTGTCAACATGTTGGGGGAGGTGAGGAGGACTGTGGGGGCTGAACGGATACGAAGGGCAGTTCAGGAGAGAGAGACAACGACTAGAACTGCAGTTTGTAGATCCTGATGCTCCTGGGAAAATAAAGATCTCAAGTGTTAGTGTCTGCCGTGATTATCAGGTTTGACACATTCTGAGGAGGCAGGATTAGAAGCTCAGCAAGGAGTAAGATATTCCTGATTTCATCCAAGCATGATGGCAGATATCTGGCACCTGTAGAAAGTTATTTTAATCATCTCACGTGGTTGTATGATAATGCAGTTGATCACACTGAACTCTTTTATATAACTCCTGGGTTTGGGCAGGGCTGTCCTGACGGAAATTTCAGTGCATGAATGAATGGAGTGTGTGTAAATGCATAGAACTTCTGGATCTGTTGCACTGACATGGTTGGCCAGGGCAGGGGAGACCTAGAAACCTTATTGCACAGAGTTGGGGCTGCAGGAGGTTTCAGTGCTCACTAGAGTGACTCCTGAGAGGGTTGGGCAGGAGAACCTGATTATCAGGTACTTTGAATAGATCTCCTCTGCTTTGGCATGGTACTGCCTCTGCAGCCCTTGTGTGTTTGATAATCTTGATTAAAGTGTATTTGGGGCCTTTTGCAGGTCGGTGAATGTTCACATATTGTCAGCTAGAAATTGTGTCTCTGTAGCTGTTGCAGCACAGAGCAAACAAAACCTTTTGGAACAGGTATATTAGGTGGCACCAAGCTCCCATATGTTGTGTCTCTGGGGTGCTGCCCTGAGCATCTCTTAGTGACATCTCTGTCCTTGGGGGATGACTGTGAGGCTTTCTGGACAGGATTAAATCCAGGCATTGTGGGCACATTGTGAGGAGCACAAGGACAGCAGTGCTGTTGTACCTTGTTCTGTGTTGGTTCCTCAGAGCAACATCCTCTCTGGCTTCAAGGGCTTTTGATGAAAAGTTGTGTTTTAGCAGAGTAACAGAGGGTACACAGGTGCTCAGACATTTCTGTTTGTATGTAAATACATGGGAGGATTTCCAAAGCACAGCATTTAGAAATGCACCTAAGTGAACCTTCCAATGATGGTACTGTGAAAATGAGTTACTCCTGTATCAAGGAACAGTTTAGTGTGTGCTGTCATGCTAGAACTTAGATTGAGGATGGCTGAGAAGCAAAAGGAACTTCAGTTCAGTTATACTCAACTGTAGTATCCCTTTATAGAGAAGTGCTTGGAGTGGATCAGGCAGAAAGTCTGAACGTTCCTTGAACTGTTTAA